CTGACTTCATGCCATATTGTTGTTTTTTGTTTCTCTAGTACAGGAGTGGACTGTAAATGAAGGTGGCGGCTCTCAGCACTTTCACCAACTGCCGGGCATGCTCCTCCACTTTCCTCTTGCAGCAAAGAAAGAGAAGGAAGCCCACAGTGATCACATAATACAGTCCCAGTAATCCATAATAAAGGGAATCCAATTTAAGGCTGAAACAGAAAGAGGCAAGTTGACAGCTGTAGCTTGAGACCTGTACTCTTTCTTCTTCCTCTACTTGACCTGGTTCATTCATCCATTCATTTATTCCCACCCTCCTCTAAGACATGCCACATTCTCTTCTGATTGAGTCCAAGCTAGTTTGGCAGGAAGCCTGAGAGGCCACTTTCACCTTTGACAGATAAGGAACACTAGGTGTACAGGGGCCATGACCTACCTGGACTCTGTCAGACCTTCTGGCTCCCAGTCCTGGACCCATATGATGCTTCAGACTCACTAAGGGCAAGGTCCTTGAGGAAGTCAAAGCTCCCTCTTGATAAGGACTCCCATGTATCTTTTCTGTTTGGGCAGAATGTAGTCTGTGTCTACCTGGAGTCCCTCCTCTTCTAGTGGATCCTACCTCTTAACTGCTTAGCACTTCCCACAGGCAGCCACCTCCCCATCCTTTCAAAGGGAATTCCCCTACACTCCAAGAACAGGAGGGCTACTTACATACAGGAAGGCCCAGGTCCTCCTTTGGGGAATCCATCAGTTAGAGGCTTCTTACCAGTCCTAAGGCTCTGGAAAGAATGAACTCACCCACTACTGGTTCCACCAATGGGAGTCCTCAAAAGGCCTCAGCCTCATCATGCCCTCAAGATGAGGTCAGAGGGTTCTGAGCACTGAGAATTCCAGGATTGGTGGTTGTGGAGTGGGTGACAGTTGATGCCAGGAAGGGACTCCATCTTGTGACATGTCATGAGCATAGTTGTCTTCCATCAAAGAATGGTCCCAAGACAGAATTGTCTGTTCCCCAGTTCATATGGGGAATGCACAGAACAGCCCCCAGGAAAGGGTGCTCACACCCTCA